TATGGACTTGATGGCAGTGGTTTGGGAAATTACCTCTGGTTGCAGCTCCTTGCTAATACATTAGCGGATCATCAGAGTGTTTAATCACTGCTCTGGGCATTGCTAAGGGGTCCCAGTTTCAGCAGGACTGGCATTTTGGAACCATAAGCCTTTGTTGTGGCAACCAGCCCTGCGTACTGCATTTAGATTACCCGCATACTCATTAGGGGACAGTAGCATCCTCCTCCCACACTGTAGCTATCAAAAATGTCCCCAGATTTCACCAACTGCTCCCTGGAGGACACAGTCACCTTCAATTGAGAACCACTGCTCTGCAACTGTGCAGCCACAGGAAGGGGTCCTTGCCCCAAAGGGATTCTAACTCTAAGAAAGCATGACATTCATGAGGACAGTCCCTCCTCCCTCTCCAGCCTCTAGATTAGGCCGCTTTCCAGGGACCTTCTTTCGGAAGAACGACAGGCCTCACCTAAGGGTCTCCTTCCAAGAATGTCGCACCTCTCGCTCAACCCGATCCCCGCTGTCCATCGCTCAAGTTGACCTCCATGCGTGGCCACCCATGAGTTCCCCAGGAGCATGCGCCATGGGTTTTCGTGGCTGGAATCTTTTCCAAAGCAGATCGCCAGGCCTTTCTTATGCAGTAGCCCTGGAAGGCAAGATGGGCAATTCTAACTGCCCCATTTTTAGTCCATTAAGTGGCCAAGTGTTTGTGTCACAAGGGACCTGGCAGGAGGCCCGCCCTTTCCCCAGGTGTTCCAGTTCTGTGCTGTTATGGTCTAGCTATTCCAGACTAGCCATGATCACAGGGCCTTCTTTCCACATACCCTGTTCCGTCCTGTACAAGCAGAGGAGGGCTTACTCCTTGCCTGGTACAACGGATGCAGACACAGTGGATGCTGCTAGGATAGGAGACGTCTCGGGTAGCCCACAGGCCAGCCTCCTGAGCGATAGAAATACTGTCAGGCCTGTGGTGGGTGTTAGGAGAGAGGTGCATGCATGGCTGCAGAATTAGGGACTGCATCCACACCACATTGAAGCAGGGGACAAGGTGCTAACTTGCAGGAGTCCCCGAAGGAGGTGACAGCAAAGGTGAGTCTTGACAAGGACTATCTGGAATGATCCAGGTAGAAAATGGGGGCCAGGACGCCTCCAAGGAGGGAGAAAATTCTTCAGCAGCAGCAGCACAGGGTTCAAGACGTCGCCGCAGATCTTACGGGGCCAGCTCTGAAGCCAATCTCGCCCAGTCGAGGAGTCCAGGCCCGAGTATGAGGGTAACTAGATGTGAGAGAAGACGGCATCTGACTTGCACTTTAGAAAGAGACGATGGACAGAAAGTGACAAAGAACCAGAGGGAGGCAAAGTCGAAGCACAGGCCCCTTTGAGACCATCTGATGTAGGATTTGGGGGATGTGAGGGATTCCTTTCTGACCCACTTCCAAACTCTTGGTAGCCCCCTTTGTACTGCCTCAGCAAAGAAGAGGCAATTGGGAGGCTGCCTCTCTTACATCACTTAGCACCACTGCAAGGAAACCTGACAAGAAGAGGCCACACCTCCCATTGCACCAGACGCGGCCTCTTCTTCACCCAGGAAATGTGTGGCAAGACAGGGCTTTTCCCAGCAAGGCCCAGGAAGTACTTTCCCTTCTGGAATCATAGGCTTGACAGTGGGGCTAAATTTCCCCACTTGGGTTAACTTTGCCACTTGGGATCCAGATGGCGTATATGTCTAGGCATATGCAGATGTCTAGGTAGATATTTCTCAGAAAGAAAAAAACCCAGGAGAGATGGGCTGTTTTAAAAGAGAAGGTTCAGCTGGTTTCAAGAGCGAAGGCATCTTGCATATCAGAGGACTGGAGCTGTTGACCATTGGTTCACTGGGAGAAATGAATGACAGGCTGGCTTTCAAAACACAGACCATTTGCCGGTTGTGAACTGTGCCTGCCTAAGAGGAGAACCTAGGAGAAAGGCTTGTAGCAAAACATACCAGATGAGTTGTACTTAGGCATTGTGATAAACCAGCCAGTCTGAGGGCAATTTCTGAGCAAGGCACCTGACGGTAATAAAATGCACATAAAAAGCAAGCAATTCAGGGTCTCCCCCACGGCTATACAAGGCTCTTGGCGGCCCCAGGCGCTGTCCCGAAGGCAGGGGCTTCATCTATCACTGTTTGATTGTGTAGAACTGGAGCTCCCAGCACCTGCCTCCTGGTTTTGCAACATGTTGAAACTAGCTTGTGGTTCCAGGAGGCTCTGAGATTTCTAGAAAGAACAAGAGAGTAAGAAAGGAAATGGCCACTTGTCCTTGCGTCCATAGCCATCCATGGGACTCGTGGCCATCCCTAATGTTCCAGAATATGGCTCGTGGGGTTTTCCAGTGCTGTGGCCCAGGGGGACTGTGGAATAAGGGAGCTGGGAAAATTTTTGCATCCCTGCTCATGGGACAGGGCCCCCTTCCTCTTAGGGAGTGTCCACAAGCGGTTGATTACCCCAGTGCAAGGCCGGTCGAAAGGATAGACTGACACACACGGAGTGCCAGTCCCCTGACATACGACGCATTTGTTTTGTGAGTGATTTGCTGCTTTGAGCTAAAATGTGATGCTTTTCTTCCCACCCACCGATGCCTCCATTACTCAGAAGGCCCTGCTCCCCTGGTGAAAACCTCAACTCTTTTAACAATCATTTGCAAATCGTTTTCAGCACTGATCATCAGACTCAGCCCTTCTGACTATCCTGCGATACCGAGCTATCTCCCACCCCGCCCAGTTCCACCCTACCTAGATGGCCAAGGGCGGACTGACCAATCTCACTTAAGGTCTGGACTAGACCACGCCTTCCTTCCAAACTCTCTGCTTCTTAACTGCCTGTAGAATAAAGTCCAAACCTTACGCCTTTTAAGGCCCTTCGGAATCTCTACCCATAAATTCCATTTCTACTACACACCCCTGCGGGCAAGGCAAATGGAGTCCCCTGCATTTAAAAAAAGGAAAATAAAAAGTGGTTATCAAGTGGATTTCTTCTCGGGGTGGCCTTATGTAAGTCAGAGTAGATGTCCAGAACTAGTGTCAGGCCTTTCTTCCAAGGGACCCTGGGTAGACTCGAATGTCTAGATCTTTGAGATAGCAGCCCAGCATGTTACCTGTTTGTACTACCTAGGCCCTCCTGAACGGGCTGTCTGTAATCAAAACCACCAGTGGCGACTCCCCACAAGAAATACGAGGCTGCGTGCTTCTGTGAAGATTTTCAGTCTCCAAAAACCCAACATAGGGCCACTGTGTGTTGTAATTGATATCGCGGCAGTGGGTTTGTTTAGGGGGTATGCTTGCCCCAAGGCGCCTGGGTGGCACTGCGGGTTTAACATTGGGATACCCACCACAAAGTCAAGGGTTCAAACCCACAAGCTGCTCCGCTGAAGGAACAGAAGGAAGCTGAGACAGTCCATTCCCGTAAAGCTTTACAGTCTAAGAAGCAGTTCTCCCCTGATCTGTGGGCTCACTATGAGCCAGAATCCATTTGACGGCAGGGGGTGGGAGCTTTGACCAGAACATAGAGGTGAGACTACCCACCACCCAAATCCACTGCCATTGGGTGCATCCTGATCGTGGTGGCCCTTTAGGACAAAGTAGAACTGATCCTTATGGTCTCCCACACTCTAAATCGTTTTGGGAGCAGACAGCCTCCTCTCCCACCACCATCCCCACCCCTGCAGGGTGACTGGTGGGTTTGAACCGACACTCTTGTGGTTAGCAGCTGCACTTTTAACCCATTGTGCCACTGGGCTGAAACAAGTAAGTGCACAGGTTCAACCTCAGCAGCTTAAATCCCTCACTACCTAGGAGCTGTTTCCCAGTTCCATCCCATGCCACGACTCTGGGCTGTGACTTGCTAAGGGTCTAGGCTGCCTTGGAAAGGATGCCCCCCCCACCCCCAATCTGGGGAGCCCAGAGAGGCACAGGACTAACACCATCACTCCCTCGCTGTTCAAGAAATGTCTGCCTATTTTGATGACTTTGCCAAGGATTTTCACCCCGTAGCTCCCCTAGACGGAGCCCTGGTGATGCAGTGGCTAAGTCCTGGGCAGCCAAGCAGAAGTTCAGCGGACAGGCATTGGGTCACACGTCCCAGGAGCAAAGCAGGATAAAGTTGTGGCAGTCTGCTTCTGTGGGTGACAGCCCAGGAAAGGGAAACCTCCTGGGGCCAGTTCTACTCTGTCCTGCTGTGAGCCCACTGCAACTCAAGGGCAGGGGGTCCTCTCCCCTAGGGCAGAGCCCCCCACTCCCTAACCCCAGGTGTGAAAAAACATGGGCATATTTTAACTTGGATAAAATTAGCATTGGCTCATAAAAAGGAGAACTTCCGACTTAACCCAGCCAGAAATGAGCACTCCCCAGCCCGCCCTCCCCAAACAGCGACCCAGTATTGAATTTCCAGTTCCTTGGAAATAACTGACCTGGATCGCTTTCTTACTAAATAAAACTTCCTATTTTCTCTGCAGTGCTAAAGGTAACCTTACCTTCAGCCAGGCAAATCACCAGCACACTCTCCCTTCGAGAAAAGATGTCTTTATAAAATGGAGGTGTGAGGGTCATAGTTCTAAAGGCAAGGCACTGCACAACAGGTGCTGAGCTACACAACCCAACACACGCAGCACTCCAAACAGACCTTCCTACCAAGCCTTAGCTTATTTAAAGGCTCTGTTAAGCTGCTGCTGCTGCTCCGCTGCAGGAGACTTTCAATAGCAAATTGCTTTCTCTCCACTGTCAGGTCTGTTTTCGTGCATTTCGTGTCGGCCTTGTTTATCCGGGCTCGATCTTGTGGGCACCCAGTCATCTGGGTCAGAGACCGGAGCGACCACGTTTCCTTAAATCAGCGCCCAGAGGACTCCACGCGGGAACTACATTACCCAGCGGCCCCTGCGCCCGTAGCAGGAAAGACGTCTGCGCACTAAGATACTCAGTTCCAAGTTTGGAGCTTTTAGCTGCCAGCTCTGGCCCATCATGTAGCTGCAGCACAGCCTTGCCTAACGTTGCAACTGGAGGAAAAATCACTTTCCAGCTTCTTTTGCAAGGTGTGCATTTCCATCTTGATTCTCTGAAAGTCCGTCTGCTGCATCGGTCAAGAGAAACTCCACTTGCATGAAGATTGCACGCCTGCAGCTTGCATCTTTGTTGCAAAACTCGCTACAGAAGAGAAGCAAGGCAAAGTCTTTTGTGCTCCCCTCCCCCATCAAAGGAAAGGGGAAAATGTCTCAGTCGAAAGGTAAGAGCCGATTTGCATTACTTGCAAAAATGCAAAGGGTCGTGCATGCATTTATGAATGCATGGATGCATTTTTCGCCTGGCGATTGCATTTTTAAGTTTGAGGTTTTCCACAGCTCAGTTGCATTTCCTGTTTAGTATGTGTCTTTTTTTTTTTGCAGACACAGAGAGTTCCTGTAAGGCAGGGCTTGCAGTTCAGCTGTGCATTGACGGTATTTGCGTTCTGCTGCTAGGATTACTGAGCTCTTTTTGCCTTTTGCACAGTCAGGACGGATAGAGCAGGTTGGTAGTGTCTAAACGTGCAGTGCGCTCTATATTGGTAAAAAAACAATGTTTCGTATGCACGCATATTAGAAGTAATTTTGCGTGCAACAGGAATACAAACTTTTAGAAAGTCTGTAGGTGAAGAGGAGAGGTAAAACTTGAGTTCAGCTGCTGGGGAATGGACTTGAGCTTGTATTTCTTTGGGAATGAACCTTTGCGACGCCAGTGTTTAGCGAAATTTCCATTGATATCGCTTTGAGCATTAGGCAACTTTTCATATTTAAAGGAAGTAAAGGTGCAGCGGGAGGAAGGCAGACAAGAAGTCGTACCCTCCTGAGATTTTGCAGGTTACAACCAATGGCTTACTGGCTTATAGTATTTAGTAGCAGAGAGGACCTAGAGAGAATGTTTATGTCTGTCCATTTGGGAGATGACTGTGCATCTGGAGGGGACAATTTAGGGGCAGGGGGAACGGGACTGGATTTGTAAACATTACAGCATCGTGGTGGGGGGCAAGGGCACTGCACTATTTCATGGACAAGCAGAATGAAATCTCTTAAGGGTGTAATTTCATATATTTAGTTATGCAACTGCACACTTATGGTTTTATGTCTTTTCTTTTCTATTAAAAAATTTTAAAACACACACTGTAATCTACAGGATTCATGTCAGTTTGGGGAAGGAGTGGACATTTTTTCAGACGTGTTATCGCGGAGCTGAGGGGGGTCCTGAGATGCCTGTAGGGTTACTTGTTTCAGAAGAAACCTTTCTTTACTACAAAGAAAGCGTATGCTGTGTGAGAGAGCGGGGGGAGAAGGAGTTAGGCACGCGGGCCATCCTTACTAGCTGGGGCACAGTTTGAGTGGGACCTGTGGAAGATAGAATATCTACGCTTTTGGAAGGAGCTCTGGTGGCGCCCAGGTTAAGCGTTTGGTTGCCAACTGCACTCAGTAGTCCTTTTGTGGGGGAGAGATGTGGCAATCTGTTTCTGGGAAGGACTTCAGCTTTGGGAATTCTCCAAGTGGGGCTTCTATGCTTCACTCAAGGGCTGTGAGGTGAGGCGTTCAAGTCGACTCGACAGCGATGGATTTGGTTTTCATTAGTTTTTTACTGTCTTGGATTTTATTCATTTTAGTTGTTGCATGAATTTTTAATTCTGCAGATGGATGTCATGTATCTAAAAGAGCAGTGGTATTTTCAAGCAGTCGAAGTTGGACTCTGCTTTTCTTTAAATATTAGGGGAGAATGGAAATCTAAAAAATTAAGCGAGTTTAGGGACCTAGGAACAGGTGTTATGATGTGAAGCTGTTTCGGAAGTCTGGGAAAAACCTACAGGCTCTTTATTCGAGCAGAAAAATAACAGTTTAGAAGAGAGCTTTGCTTTGATGTGTAAAAAAAAAAATCTAATTACTTCGTATTGGTAAGCATTTACTCATTCATTTAGTTCTATTAAATAGAGTTATGTATTATGCCATATTAGTTCATGTGTGTGTGTGTATACACGTATATGTGCATGCATGTATATATGTTTATACGTACATACATATACAGCTGAACATACTACCTATATAGGCATCTCTCTTAACATGATTCATCTATCGCTACATTTCATGCACCTGTAACTGTGGGTTGTGCACAGGATTTGCCCCACATTCCCCAATCATATTTTCAATGTAGTCTTTCCCTTCAAGGAATTTTCCTGTATGGCTGAGGGGAAGAAAGCCTGAATACAAGTGTGTATAAGATCACTGGCTAGACATTGAAAAGAAACGCTACAATTGGGTCAGAGAGTAGGGACCATTCTTTCCTGGTGATGATCAAGAAAGTTCATGAAGAAGGTGATGTTTAAGGGGCCTACCACCCATTCTTGGGCCTGAGAGTCTAAATTAAATCAAGTTTAAGATGACCAGATTTTAACATTGGTAAAGCGGGACACCATTGATAAAACTCCTATCCTGGCAAAATAGCCACATGGCAGCCAAAAACCGTATACCCTAGCTTGTCGTGCATTCTTTCCAAAAATCGGGACTTTTTTAAAACGCCGCGGGACGCAGGACAAATTGTTAAAAATTGGGACCGTCCCGCCAAGCGGGACGTCTGGTCACCTTAATCAAGTTCCTCTTTGCATCATTTTTGAACTCTTTCATAAGGTAGCTAACACCTTCCGCACGTACGCGTAGTAGAATAGATTTTGAGCTGAGAAATCCAACGTGATATTTACATGATGCTCTCTTTCATTATAGCCGTGTTCAGCATGCATGAGGTACCGACGATGGCCCTTCATATCAATTCCCGTTTATCTTCTTGGGTTTCTTAATTGGGCCCTGTTTGCAAGATGTTTCTGATGTGAGCATGAGGCTCCTGCCTCAAAGGAAAATTATTGCTAGAAAGAAGCGGGCGATCGTTTAAAACATGGCAAAGGAGTCTTGGCCTAAACTTGGAATGTAGCATTGGCCTAATTCAGCATTCCCAAAGAGCCACTTTTTTTTTTTGCAATACCAAAATTCTTTGTAAGACACCCCCCTTCCCCACCTCCCAACCAAAGAGGATGGGAGAATAAGTGGAAGGTGGACACCACCTCATAGTATTGAGGAATTCAACATGTTCCATGCAGGGACCTCTACAAATCCTCTGGATGACTATAATTGGGTTTTACGGACCTCTAATTTCAGGCACAGGCGAGGCAAAAAGAATTACAGACTCCCCGGGAACTGGTAGGAATAGCTTCTTTCTTTCCAGTCGTACGTACCAACAGCCAGATTCCGAGAAAGAATTTCTTAAAAAGAAATTGCGCTTTCCACGTCCGTAACTTTAGGTGGTAGGTTTTCAGCTTGTTTATATTAGCTGTCTGGGGTTGAGCTGACATTTTTCAAATATTAAAGTGGTAGAAGGCCTTTTGAGGAAATCTGAGATGTAAGTTAACAGGAAGGGCACCCAGAAGGTGCAGGAATTCCTGCACATTACAGGAAGACAGGCCACAGGAAAAATGTGTCATGTACCCTACCCCAGAGAGAAAAAGCATTGTTATCAATCAGCCTTGTGATCTGGAGGGAGGGAAAGAGGGAGGGCAGGGAAGTGAGTGAGCAGGAGGCCTGACTTCTCTCAGTTCACCTGAAAATACACAAAAAGTTTGTTTCTGATCACATACTCCTTCCCATTTTTGCCTCTATGTTCCTTGAGACAAATATTAGTTGATCCTAGTTTGATAGAGTGGTAGGTAAAACGGGTCCCAAGTAATTAATACTCACAAAGCAAGCTACATTGGAGGTTGGTAGGCAAAGGTTGAGACCTACGGTGAGTGCTTTGCTTGTGGGAAATGAAATGTGTAAATTTCTCATTCTGTGAGATTTCCTTTGTTAGGTTGTGGCAGACAGGCTTGTCATGCTTAGGCTGCAATCTGAGCCAGTATGTTTATAACCATGTACATCTTGGGACACACAATCAGAGCAGCTACCATGGGAAGTTCTGTGTGGTCATCGCATTCAGCATTTAAACAGTTTGTGTGTGCCGCAGGCAGGGGCTTCGGGCCCGGGGTGGGGGTCTCTGGGTGCCCAGTTTTGGGCCAGAGAATAGGATTGAGAATCTCAGCCCTGTATTTTTCAGAAATCAATAGGATTTTAGCTACTCCCCACACTTTTCAAATCTGAAAGATTTCTGAGGAATATTTTTAAAACTGAAGAGTAAAAGAAATGGAATAGAAAACACTGGGTCATTATAGAAATGTGAAAATATAGAAAAATAAAAATAAAAATCAGTAGTTACTGCAATAGAACTTTTGATACATATCCTTTTGGATCTCCCCCACCTACCCCCACCCACCCACCCACCCACCCCGCCCTGGACCCCGCTCTATAAAAATCAATGAAAAATCTAAAATGTGTCTAAGACTAAGGTCTAATTAGTTACTTTTTGTTTCACTTACAAATGTGCAGTGACATATTTGCAAGTTAATACTTGCTATGTTTATAATATCCAGTTGCACTGTGTATTAATTTAGCTTGAACCCTATTGTCTGTTGGTCCTCAATAATATTTTCAACCATACCCTAATGCTTGTACAAGCTCCTTCATTATTGTGCCTCTTACTGGCCTTAGATAAAGTCTCAGAGAGCAAAAGTGTGGGTCAGGGTAACAAGTTTCCCCCACCCCCTCATTCTCTGCTCCAACCTATGGAAATAGCCTTAATATTTTAATACTAGTGATATCTATATGTTTATACACACACACAGGTGGTGTAATGGGTTTCACATTGGGCTACTAACCACAAGATCAACAGTTTGAATCTACAAGCTGTTCCCCACGAGAAAGGAGGCTTTCTGTGCCTGTCGAGATTTACAGCTTCCAAAACCTAAAGGGGCAATCTCATGTTGCCCTATTGGGTCACCATGAGTTTGAATGTACTGGAAGGCAGTGAGTTGAGTTGCTGAATAATCAATATGGATAGATCAATTCACAATATGAATATAAAATCACTCAAAGTCACATCAGCTAACTGCCATTGATTCGATGCCAACTCATATTGACTCTATAGGACAGGGAAGAATTGTCCTTATGCTTTTCTGAGACTAAAACTTTTTTTCTTTTTTGAATTAATCATTTAATTGGGGGGGGGCCCTTAGAAACCTTGTAACAATTCATCATTCAATTGTACTAAGAACTTGTACATATGTTGCCATCAATGTTTCTAAAACATTTTCTTTCTTCTTGAGCCCTTGGCATCATCTCCTCTTTTTTCCTT